TTATTATTATTATTGTTATTATTATTATTATTACTATTATTATTTTAATTTTGTATTTCATGAAACAATTTTCTTTAAAAACAATTAGTAAATAGTTTTAATAGTATAATTAAAAAAACTTTAAAATTTTATAAACAATTGTTGCGCTGTAATAATAATAATAATAATAATAATAATAAAAATAATAATAATAATAATAATAATAATAATAATAATAATAATAATAATAATAATAATAGTAATAATAATAATGTTTTCAAGTAAATTATTTGACCATGATCCCTCCAAATTATAAAAATTACATTACCTATAAATTTTTTTAATCAATATAGTTATTCAAATGTAACTCAAATAATTTATATCAATATTATTTATTTTTACTAATGATTAAATCTTGAAAATGTGGTATGTCCATTATCTAGAATTTTAATATTAAATTCACATATCTTGAAAATGTGATATGTTTATTATCTATAATTTTAATATTAAATTCACACATATTACTTATAATATTTTATGTACATCTGTGCACATGCACAGGATGAATACTAGTTGATATAGTTTATGATTTATTGTTGAAAGTTAGCTGAAATTATTAAAAAAAAAAAAATGTGGTAAAAGTTTTTTTGAAAAGTTATCTAATGGGAGTAAATTCGTTTGAATTTCGAATGACATTTAAGACTTTTTAAAAATTTTAAATTTAAGATTTATATTTTATCTAAAAATTATAAATATCTAATAGCAATGAGACAAGCGTTCCATTCTTATCACTAATGGGAGACAAACTCATTAAAAGGAAATGCAAAAGTCATTGAAAGGTTGGGCCACTCATCATCGAATTTGATTCACATGTTTTGAATGCACAATCAACTACCAATTTTGATTTTTTTGGCCAAATTTCTAGAAACCTCAATAATGTAGATATAAATTGGAAAAAAAAAAAATAATGGTGGTAGCTTCATGGATCAAGGGGCGATTAAATATAAATCAAAACTAGTTTTGATCCTAAATGAGATGATTTTAAATGAAGTTGACTAGGCACAGGATTGAGAGATTTTGAATTCGTATTCAAATATAATGATGAAAGTTGATGTGATATAAAAGTAAAAGAAAAATATTAGAAATGGCAGTTGAAACAAAAATTTTATGGAGCCATAGAATAATTTTCTTATGGAGCCATCAATCATTTTTTATATTGACAAATGTCCAAAGTGTATTTGTTGTAGGATACATGTCAATCGATGACTCCATAAGTCGAGCCATCCAATTACTCCATAGCAAAACTGCTAGTTGAAAATATGTGAAAGAATGAACAGTGAATTAAAAACCGATATGATGTATGAGAATAATAGCTTGACATTATTTAATTATATTCATAATACTGAACATAGTTAAGTTGGAATTAAATTTGAGTTAAAAAGTGTGAGATTTTTTAATTTCTTTAAATAATTTGTTAGATTAATGGTTAAAATTGATGTGATGTAAAAATAGAAGAGAAGTTATTAAAAATGGTAGACAATTAAAAACATGTACAAAATTAATAATGAATTAAAGTTGATCTAATGGATGAGAATGATTTTTTTATATCATTTAACTATATCGATAATACTGAGAAGAGTTAAATTAAGTTAAAAAGTTGTAAGGAAAAAAAAAAATCAATACAGATGATCCAGAAAACATGAATCTCCTGTTTCTCATTTTTTTTACTATGAAAACAGAAATCTATGGACACAGAGAGACATGGAATGAATCAAATACTGGAAAATCTCATTAGAATATTATTCAGTTTCACCAAAGATTCTTTAACAAGTTTCCTTTAGCCTCTCTGAGTGAATCATAAATATATATTAGTTTCATGTTCTGAATTGTACACCAACTTAATCTCAAACAAAAGATTACCAGGTCAGCATAACAAGATTAATGTAAACATAATATTTACTAATTATAAGTTAATTTACAGAGACTGATTTGCGTTACCGTAGAATATCTTCGCTAATCGATCAATGCGGAGTTCGTATCTATCGTCTGAATTGTGGCTTTGTTGTTTTGCAAACTCGAGCCTTCACCGCGCCTTTTCAATTCTTGAGATTTGATAAATTCTTCGATTTTTGCCTTCAACTCGACATCCGGTATCAACATGTCCACAGTGAGATGCGACCGGTTAAATGGATCGGTCTGTACATTCAAAAATTCGAAAATAAAATTTCTAAACAAAAGTTCGAACTTTCATATTTTGAGAATCACCCAATGGAAAACAAAGTTTCGGATGTTTTAAGACATTCGTTCATACGCTATCACTCAATAGATGCCTCTGTATAACGGGTCGGTCCACAATGACTTTTGACGAAGGCAAAATGACAGGATCTTTCATTAACGTGTACTGAAACCCAAGAAACAAACAATAGTACGGTTCGATATAAAATATAAAATATAAAATAAGTAAAGCAAAATATAAAATATAATAAAACTAAGTCAAAAATGCATTTTTAATTCTGTTCGTTTAACGCCATAGCAATTTTTGTCCCAAGGTTCCAACTTTTCGCCTTTTGGTCCTTTGATGATGATGTATATTTTGATGCAACTTCAGTCCTCAAATGACTGAAATGTGGGAACTTATTGCAATTTCAGTCCTCAAATGACTGAAATTTGGGAATTTATTGCAATTTCAAGGACTAGAATTGTACACACCAAACGAAAAGACGAAATGTTAGAATCTTGGAACTACAATTTCGTAAAACCAACATGACTAAAAATGCAAATTTAGCTTAAATTTAAATTACGGAAATCAAGATCTACCTGAATTGGGTCGAGAAACTCGTCTGGTATGTCACCAAGAACAGCTTCGGCATCCATAGCCTCTGAGGCAACAACTTTAGCTTTTCTTCCGAGCTCGACAAACTCGTTAATTACTCTAGTATCTTCCCCGATTCTCCTCAACACATCGGCTGCAAAATCAAATAGCTGCCATCCCAAACAAAATTGCGATTCAAAGTGGAATGGTTAATTGTAAGTGAAATTTTGAGTTTATAATATAATAAAATAATTAAAGTTGTTTCGATGTAAAAGTAGGAGAGAAATGATGTGAAGTGATGTTTAGTTAAAATTATGTGAGTGCATGAATAATGAATTAAAGTTAATGTGTAAAAATGATTGAGTGACTTTATTTAATTTTATTGATAATACGACTTTCTTTCGCGCTAGTTGCTCAATCCCTTGAGCCCGAATCCCTTTTCTTGTCCGGGAGACATGGTAATGGAAGATTCAATTAGAGTGAATTAGATTTGAGTTAAAAAAAGTGATTGGTTAAAAATGATTAAATTTTTATGAAAAAAATTGTATACAAGCATGCACTAAATAATAATAAAAAAAATTAAACAATTACCTGTTCATTGTATGAGCGGCCATCCCGTATGATAGCTGAGGCAAAAATGTTATCTTTGTCTCCTCGGGCAAGGTTGACATATATGTTAACGATCTTCAGATACGTAAAAAAATAGAAGCACATAAGATTATTTTTTCACAGCAGCTTCATCTATTTGTTAACCATAGTAAGAATGAAAGAAATCAATTATCCATAATGTTTTACCTGCTTTAGCAACAATTTGGGTCGAAACTCATACTTTTCAGGGTCTTTCAAGGTAAGCGATTTCCTTTGCGGGCCCACAAGTTGTAATAGGAAATAATTCAGCATGCTAGCAACTCTCTCGACCTGTAAAAAAACACACAGCCATGACAGCAAAAACTCGATTATATATAATGGCCAGAATTTACAAGTCGACACGTAACATGTAAGATTATATTTACCATCTCTGGTAGCAGGAAAGGAGATGTGATCTGTTCTGAAGTAAATGCTAGCATGCTCACATCTTCATTGGCCAACTTCATATCAATCCTAATAATCTAAATGAACCACCAATTTCAATCAGCACTGAAAACAATAACCAAAAAAAAGTAATAATAAAAAATAATAATAATAAAAGAAATAAAATACTAACGTTCTCCTGAGAGTGGAAAAGTCGAGTTCTTTCCTGCCTCTCTTGGGCTAGCCTTCTCTCCCACTCCACAGTATTAGACATCTCGGATTCTAATTCTTTATGTTCAAGAATTTTGTTCAGACTTTCATCCAACAGATAAATACTATCATTAATCAAAAAGTTCAAGAAGTTCAAATAGACGCCTTTCTCCTCCTCCTTGGCAATCTGGTGAGAAACATCGTATTAAAGGTAAGAAGTCTGACTAATATTATTATTATCATTAATTAATAATAATAAAAGGCCGATTCATATAAGCTTTACCCTTCTCCAAAAATTGCGATGACTAGGAACCTGCCATAAGTACTCCAGGAGTTCGGCAATATTATGACGGATGTTGAACTTGTCATAGAACTGGAAATAATAACAAGAAATGATAGAAATTATAGACATATATTCAGAAATCAAAATAGTCTACCTAATGAAAGCCTAATCAGAACATGGAATTAAGATGTCTGAAAACGTCTCTTTCACTTCACTCGCGTATACCAAAAAAAAAGGTAAGTTCACTTCATTCCAGATGATACATACACAGCAGACATCATCAACATCAACATCAACATACCCAGTATATTCCCCACAATATTCCCCACAGGTTGGGGTTGGGGGATCAGTTGTACGCAGACCTTACCCTTGTAATTATACAAGGAGGCTGTTTCCATAGCGACCCAAGGTGCGTTGCATCGTTTGATATATTTTTTTTCTAGAAACTTCACTAATAGAAGAAGCACTAGAATTTAATTGAGCCATTTTGATCTAGTCCATTATTAGCACTATACCAGAAGAATTGTCAACAATGACTCTTCCAGCTCCATATGCAATGGACCACTTGACATTATGTTTAAGAAAACGAAGTTTTAATTTGCAGCTCCATACATATATCAGAGAATACTCTTAAGTGACAATCACCTGAGTGTGAGAACCTGTGAATTCGATATCAACATAAAGTTTCAGAAGATTCCTGACAAGAAACTCAAGGGATAATTGATGCCCTTCGAGCAAAGTCTCTGTTGCCTTCGACCCACTATATAGAACAATCAAAAGAATTAAGTGAAGGAAGAAAACAAAACAAGAACAATTACAACGCAATACATAATGAAAGTTATCAAAGATATACCTTCTCCTAGGCATCCAGCAATTAAGGACTTCAACCATTTTAGCTCTTAGATATGGATTTCGGATGTATTCTGGACTAGCCATGAACATAATGATGAAGTTCATAAAATCATCCTATCAAGAAAAGTGTACAACAAACAAATCAGGCAAAAAAAACAAGAAGATGATAAGGGTGTGTTTTTATATCAGTTATTTCAACTCATACTCAATTCATACTCAAAATTTAACTCAACTTTAACCCAACCCCACTATCATCAATTTTATCAATATAATTAAATAATACCAACAAATCATTCTCACATACCAAGTCAACTTTAAATCAGTACTCATCCACTCAAATAATTTTAACTAACCATCACTTCACATCATCTCTCTCATACTTTTTCATCGAATTAACTTTAATTATTTCATTTTAAATATTATTTTAATATAAACTTTAAATTCCACTAACAACTAACCATACCAACTTTTTCAAAATTAATTATAGTTAACCAAAAAAAAACTCGTGTTGAGCGGATATATTTGTATACAAACACGCCCAAAAACCCTAATGAAAATCGACTCTTTTATATACCAGCATGACTCCATCTAAAGCTCTAGGAATTCGCGATGCAAAGATTAGCAACTCCATGGCATCTTCTACAAAATGTTCTGGCATAGCAGCAAATTCCTTTGGGCATGTTGATGGTAGTGGCATTTTAAACCCACCAACCACCCCAACTAACCAAACTACCATTAGGCGGTAGTAAGACAATGCATGCTGAAGAATCCCTCCATCCTACGGGTCAACATGTATAGAGTGAGTTTTTTATACGTATTAGTATAAAAGGTATGATACAGAAAGAAGCAAATAATAAGGTAACAGGTTATCATAGAAATAAATGAATCGGATTATTTTTACTATACACAGCGAACAAAGAATGTGTCAATTATGAGACGGCAAATCTCAAAATCAGGGAGAGAAAAAAGTAAAAACTTTTTTTGTACCCTTAATATTTGAGCTTCAAAGCACAACTTTTCTTGCGAGTACAACTCGATTTCTTTTTCGAGCCGAGAGATATCTTGCTGCAGTTGAGGAGAAGGTGATTGCTCATGCATAGCTTTGAATGAGGATAAAGTATCTTCACATCTGGAAATATCCTGAATATAAGAGTATGAAATCCAAATGATAACCTTCAGCCAACCAACGCCTAAACAAATTTTATCATAGATGTCATTCTCAAAAGACATTTTAATGAAAAAAGGAAAGGGGAAAAACAAAACAGAAATCCTTCTGGTTGAAGTAAAATAAAAACCTGAACAAGGTGTTTGAAATCCGAAAAAGCCTTTAGCAACCCCAAGTTGAGTATCCTAGCAGTCATGAAGAAACATTCGCATATGAATGGATATTTGGCTTTTTCACTACTTTTCGGTACTGGATTATTTAGGTGGGCAGAAAGTTCGTTAGTCCTACTGCCAAACCACTCCGAGACTTCTTCTGATGATGCATGCAAAGCAGTCAATCCTCTGGTACAAGTTCACCACCATAAATGAAAACTTTCAGCTATATGCTAAAATAGAGTTAACAAAGATTAAACGATATTCCTTCACCTCATCTCCAGACGGTCACTGTACAACACATATTTCGGATCAATTTTGTCCCTTTTCGACAAACCAGCATCTAAAAATGGCTCACATAGACGAAGCATTACAGCACTGAGATTTACAAACATGCCAGAACTAGCACAAGATAGAGGATTGACCTGCAGCCAAAGACAAATTAATAAAACATTAAAGATGGTTATAACTTATAACACTGAAAAGGACGCAAATTTCAATGTATTCAGAGTGGATGAAGACGTAAGGTCCTATTCTATCACTAGTAGGGAACAAAAGAAGAGAGAACACATACCTGCAAATGTGCCCTAGAAGCGTTTTTATTGATAACCTCTGAAAGGTACTCGAGAACATTTTCCCGAGTATTCGTGTTTTTAAGAAGGCACATAAGAACTTCTGCCATCCCATCATACAAATTATTCATAACAGTTTTGATGGTTGTAAAGGATGACAGTAGATCAGCCGGGCGGCGAGTCGAAGCTTCAGAGAAGCATTGTTGGCTGGCAGGCAGTACAAGAACAACCATCCATTGATATAATCACATTTTCACTTAACCAAAAAAAAAAAAAAGTAAAAATTGCTAGACTGTCTTAAATCTTAAATACAACTGCAAAAAGCTTAAACCATGTCAAAAAATTCAATCTTGACAATAATAACAACTTGAGTAAACTTATGAGAGCAAACTTAAAGCATCCACTCACCCAATATCAGGCTCACACTTGAATATCTCGTTATCGGGCAATGCACTAACATGAAAAAAGGGCCCCAATATGCTATTCATCTCCATCACCCTCCCATTCAAATACATACTTCTCGGAATCCACCACGGGTGGCTCACCAAAGCCTTCGCCCCCACCGGAAAATTCACCAGAAACAACAATGCCCTCAACGGCTGCTGAAAGTTCCCAAGAGCCGAAACTTTCAGTACACTCCCCCTCAGGTCCTCGTACAGCTGCTTCAGAACAGGCTCAATCGAGTCATAATCCGAATCCCTGAAAAACTCCTCCAAAAAACCGGGAGGTGCCGAGACTCCACTACTGCTCCCTCCAAATCCGTCGACACTGCCACCCACCTCGGAAAATAGCAGCGGCAGCAAAGGGGACGAGCTCGATTTGCGCGTCTCGTTATTCGGGAACATGTCGGGATTCCCTAAGTGAATCCTGCAGTACGAGACCGCCAATTTCTTAGCTTGCCTCACCACAATCTCCATTTCAGACCTAACGCCCTTATCCTTCATTGACGCGATTTTCCTCCCTTCCTCGTACGCGCGGCGGTACGAATTGAGCAGGTACTGAAACGGCGGCTCCGCCGCCGGAAATATGCCGGAGAGACGATCGATCACTACCCTCTCCATCAAGTCGCGGGACAGCCTCAAATCCTTACCCTCGCTCAGAATCTCGGCGGCTGTCATCTCCAGGTAGACGATTCTTGAATCGCTCTCCATTGAGTCGACGAGGGAGACGAGGAATATCTTCCGGAGGATAATGTCCTCGATTTCCGCCGGCGTCCTCGAGGGTTTCTGCGCCGCCATAGCTGTGAGAGATGTTGCAGCAAAATCGATTTTTTTTTCTTCTTGATTTAGGGTTTATCGAGTGTTCTGATCAGTACATTGAAAGCCGCAGACTTTGGACGGCGGTCGTCGGGATTTTTACAACTTTGCGGTGAAGAAAGGTAGTTGCAAACTTGCAATGATGATGCAATAAAAGTAGGATTATATATATAATGATGTTAATCAACTTTTTTTAGATAAAAAAGGTTTTAAGTTTAAGTTTAATTATTATTGCATAATCCTAATATTAGTGTGAATTGAATTTCACTTTAAGTGAATATTTAGATGTATTCAAATGTCGGGCCGGTTCACGACTCGGTTTGGCCCACCAGGTCGACGGGCCTCATATGCTGGGCCCGGAACCGGTCTGGCTATATTTAAGGGCCGGTTCAAAAGTCCCGACGATTTAAAAAAATAAATAGACAGTTTAAAAAAATAAATAAACAACTACTACCTGTTTTTCGAACCGGGAATGACTCAGAGTCGGCCCGGCCCGACGGGTCGAAAGGGAGAAAAACATGACTTGAACCAACTCTCAGGGGTTAGGGGTTCAATTCAAAAACCGGTTGATCCGAGCCGAGTCAATGAGCCGGTTCGACCCTTGACCATGTCTAGATACAAATATTCCAACTTTTAATTGGTAGGCTAATATAAAATAGTTTGGAGAAGTCCAACCAATGTAGGAAAGTTCGCAAAATTTTAGGGTGGTTTGATAAAATTTTATCTAAAATTTTTTCAGCCAATTGATCTTTTCTTTTTTAAATATACAGATTAACTCATAT